GGCCGGGGGGGTGTCACAGCAGAAGCTGAGAGCGAGGGAGGGTCTGATCTGATAGGAAGTCATGCTAGTTTCCATCTTACTCCCTGTGTGGCGGAGCAACAGTCTGAGGTGTTTCGCCTTCGAAAAAGTGGAAAGTATTATATACTTCATAGGGATGCGATCAGACTCCGTACATTGACGTGTGTGTTCGTTCTGCTTAAATTAAATGCAGAGCTGGTAGCACTGACTATTGTAAAGATACCTGACATTTCCTAGTATAAACTCTGTTTACAGATGCTTATGACTGTCAAACATCAGCTGAAATTTTCCATCCAAATGCTTGCTTCACCCTAGGTCTACACAACAATATTTTGCCAGGACAACTCTGCTGGCTGCAGAGCTGGAAAAAAAATAGTCATGCAACCTAAATGTCATTCTTCCACTTACAAAATCCCTGCTATAGATATGCACTTGTGCAAACAACAGGTAATTTCATAGCTCAGTGTGTTCACTTTCATGGAGGCATTCACTGGGTCTCTACTGGAAGAGTCTGCTCATGCACCGCTCAGAAACAGGATGGTCTATCACGGCTCAACAAGACAAGATAGTAGCTGAGCTACAGGAAGGTGACCAGGCCATCATAAAGTAAAATGCTTTTGTCTGTTGTATGGACTAAGTCCTCACCAAGAGTCAGCGAGACTCACCTGATGAATGGTAACTCCCTAAAACCAGAGTAACTCATTCATGCTTCTGGGCTCTATCTGTACAGACTTTTTAGCGGTTCAAAGCAGATAAAGTGTGACAGTTTAAGAGCTGTCCGCTCATCCCTTGGCTGATGACCACTGCCTCCATAACAGAACAGTACACAAGACAAGGCCCAGCAGTTCAGTTTAAACAGACTAATCCACTAGGGCAAATCAGGAAATTTAGCTCTGTTGAAGCAGCAGTCATCTAACAGCAAGAGGGCCGGAAGAGATAGAGCGAATCGGTGACCCTTTCATTGTATTTTGTCAGCCCCCTTAGAACTTAGTTTATCATGGCCTGTCAGCTTGCTTATTTATCTATGCTATGTCAGTAAAGCTATTGTTGCAGGGATCTTATTGTGTAGGTGAGCTCTCACACTGTTCTTTCTGTGACAGGGGCTGATTTAATAGTAAATCATTTATGAAAAATGGTTGGAAAAAGTCCTCTCATTAAGGAAAGTCCTAGCATTATCTGACTGAGAAATTCTAGTGCTTCCATGCTTTGGGACAACTGTCCAAGTGGGGCAATAATATATATATATATATTTACAGAGGGTGAAGCACCTGCTTAAGCCTGTGAACTGGATTTTTAATCTGAAATCAGACAAAGAAAAATAACTAAAGTAAAAAAATCTATCTTTGAAATATTTGTTAGAAATGTTAATTCTGCAGAAAATAATCACATTTACAGTTTTCTGTAGTGATTTGGAATGCATTTTAAATAGCAAAAAAAAAGAAGAAAAAAAACCCCACACCTGCAGTATGGAAATGCCATTTCTCTCACAACCTTAATATAAACAGGGCACAGTTATGGATGAGATTATTAGACTAGAAGTAATTTTAGACGCTGCCGGTAATGAAGCCACAGCATATAGGCTGCAATAGTCCAAGCTGAAATGGAATCAGATAACTTGTATCTACCACAGCAACAAATCAACAAGGAAACAGTAACAAAGGTTGAAAGCATTAGAAACAATGAACCATAAGTGACAGGAGCCAAATAATGGAAAACACGGGACCCAAGTAAGAAGCAAAGTACTAGTCTTCAAAACAGGGAAATGATTGCATTTTTTCTGCAGATAGGGGAAACAGCAGCATTTGGAAGAGAATAAATCAGTTTGCAAAAGCATAGGAACATGGACATTCCTAGAACGGACGTGTAATAGGGACTATCACTGACAGTATCTCAGAGGTTTCTGTCTTCACCTCTACATAAACAAGGGTGAAGAATAGAGAAAAAGTGCATTTTGCAGGCTGTTCATGCATCATTTTGACATTGGTTCTACTAGGAGTATAATGGTCTGTAAAGAGTACTGCAAATTTTTTAATTCAAACACAGGCTGTGCTTGAGAAGTAACTTCAAGCAAAAGTTTGCATAGCTCCTCTTTTACTGTGACTCCTGTAGTACTTTTCAAAGCTCAGGTTCCCCAAATCCTGCTATTTCTTTGTTTAAAAAAAAATTTTACTGCCCTCACTGCAGCAGAGAAATGCATGAAAAAGTGAATGTAGCGGGCCTGACAACGGTAGAGCAAAATTTGAAAAGGGTAACTTTTTTTATAAAAGCTTCGGTTCTCAAGTGTCTGGATCAGCATTATGTTGATATATAAGCAAGCTCTACATATTCTCTTTCATAGCAACAGAAGTCTCCCAAGTAGCTCAGCAAATCTGATTGAAGTGCTGAGGTCTCTGTAAATGGCAAATTTTGCAGTGTATTTGCTAGTTACTGCTGTATATCTCTAACAAAGAAATAATTATTAGAATACGATGATATTAAAAGCTTGGAATGTCTTCTTGGAAAACAACAGCTAAATATATTCTTAGTATTACCATAGTGTGTTGTCAGTGGTGTTTAAAAGGTAGTTAAAATAAAACTTATCAGAGTGACAGAATGCATGTTATATTTCCTCTATTTCCAATTAAAAAAATTAGCTGACTGCCAACTTTGCAAATGTGGCTTGACGTTTGCTATCCAGTTCAGGAACATTTTCAACACTTACTTTGATTCTTAAAGCATGTTAATTCCTGAGCCTTAAAATGTTAACCATTACTCATTTGTATTGGGCAGTTAACTGAGTCAATGTTACTTACTTTAAGAGCCATAATTTTTGTGTTTCTTAAGTTTTTTTTTTTTTTATCCACGGCATTGTACTGGTGTCTTTTTTCGTCCCTTTAGATCCAATTCCTTCATCCACTGGACTGGATACTGGGATGATATTTGTATTGACTCACAGGAGAAAAACTGGTCCCACAGCAACAGAGGCCCTCCACAGCTGTACAATTACTAAAGCTTCTACAGACCTGGTGATCAGAAGTGCCCCCTCTGCAAGATGGCAGAAAACATCAATGGATCTGTTTAAAGGTAGATGATGGAAGCCTAGCCCAGCTCTTATTTGATGCGAGTAAACAGGAAATTGCTATAGAACAGACGCTTGTCTTCTGTTACGGAAAAGTCTTTGTATCTTCTTCCCAGTGTTGCCTCGCCAGCAGAACTGTGGGAGCACCACTAACTAGACAAGATTTGCCCGCTTCAATTGTTTTTGTAAAGAACGTAGTTCAGCTCTAGCATAGTAGCTGAATTTTACACTGAAACATGTTTTTACAATTGTCTCATATAATGTATGTTTGTGATAGAAATGTGAACACTCATTTAACACTAAGTCATTCTGCGCAGTGCCATATTTTACAGTTCATATTCTCATTTTGCTACTCAGCTGGATTTTCTAGCTACTGTTACAATGCAGTTATCACTTGAAGGCTGGCATACACTTGTATTATTACAAGATGAGGATTGTTAATTTAAGTACTGAAAAAAGCATTTTGCAGAAAAGTCCTGATAATAAAATACTAGTTTATCAAAACCACAACATTCAGATAAAATGGCTGATTTCAGTTAATGTATTGTTTTGCAAATAAAAGCAGAAGTAATGTTAAAACCTAATGTTTCCAAATGTGACATTTTCTACCTGTGAAAAGTTCATTGTCTTTCATTTGAAAGGACTTTGTTTCAAAATATAAACTACTTAGAAGTTTTAAAAGGATTAAAAATGGAAAATAAAACTGAAAGATTTTGAAATGTCTTGACTGACCTCATCTATCTTATTTTTGTTACAGTTCACAACTAAAAGGTTTTTTTTTCTGTGATCCCTGAAATAAATTGTTTAGAAAAAAGCAGGGAAAGTGTATTTTCATAGACTTATAAGAAAAAGAGTTCCTTTTTTAGCAGAACTTTACTGAGAGATTAGATATGATCTGGTAGATATTACAACCCAGTGGGCTGTTTCCTAGAAGTTGTTCTTAATCACCAGAAAAGGCTGTATTTCACCACAGCTGTAAGTCTCTAATTACTATGAAACAGAGCTATTGTTCTAAGGAATATTTTCACACAAACCTACATGCAAATTGATTTACAAAAGCCAAACAGCAAAATTTTCCTAAAAACTCAGTTTTCATAACTGACAACTGATTTAGTGCTGTGTCAGCAATTCATTATGTTGTATAAATCAGGAATGACTTATAAAATAGCCTCTAACCGTACATTAAATGAAGGGAAGAAGGGGAGGGAGGGAAGGAGGGAGGAAGATCACTAAACAGCAACCTATCAGAGAAAGCCACTTTTTTATAAAGAATATCCCCAAAATGCCAAATCCTCAGCTGCAGAAAGTTTATTCCCACAGTTTCCTGTATACTTATAGATTTTCCATTAAAATTTTCCAGGTTTCTCGATATCATAGAGTCACTAACAGCTTTTCATTTCTCACTGCCCGTAACAGATCTGTTCTGTCATTACTGACAGAACTGTCATTTTCCGTAAGTAATTCCATAGGAATACGCAGGCATGCTCATGGAATACAAGGGTATGAGGTGTCACTTAAGGGTATGAAAACCAGGTCAATCATACGACAGTCCTTGCCAATGCGGAGAATCTGACCATGGACCCGAGCAACTGCCTTTGTCCTAGCTCTAGTCCTGCCACAATTAGTCTGAGCTGCCAGAAGTGGGACGAGAAGGGGAAGCAGCTGACACTCTTAATTCTCATATCGCCTTAACAGCAGCTTGGAATGTCACTCACCAGCATGGGAGAGGAAACAAAATGTAATGCCTGGGAGTCAAAATAAGCCCCCCTTCAGTACTGCAAGAAGATATGCAAGGCTTCTCCTCTGAGTATATCTGCTCACTAGAAAGAGCACCATTCTACTTATTTACGCAGGTTTCTTAGATCTGACACCTATTACACACTCCTTTTAGAGCAGAGAAAATAGAGAGGTGTTAAAATCTTACCCCATGTAGTAGGTTTGCTGAGTGGCTCTGTAGACTGAGGCAGGCAGTGCTGTGCAACGGCTTTTGCTGAATGTCTGAAATCCAGGATATAATGGATTTGCTTCTGCACAAAATACAGCTTCTCATTAGACAGCCAGCCTGGACTGGCACTCGGGGGAACAAGGGTCGGAATAAATGCTTCATTGATAATAAGACTGTAAGTAAGTGATGTATGATTCAACTTTTTCCCAGCATTGCTGAGTAACCCTTTTTAACAGCTGCTGTGTTCAGTCATTCAAATAAAACTGTAAGATGCGTACAATATTTTGGGCCTGCATTAGCCACCAACATTCAGAGTTAGCACATCTGCAGAGGACATCTTCCAGGAGGATTTTCAGCACTTTTTGCTTGAGTTCATATTGGGATTTATGTCTAGATGTGAGATTATTTTTTTCCTGTGTGGCAATTAAGAAATTAATACCAGAAAGTTGAGGATAGGATGCTGAACCACTGGCACAGGCAATGCCTGTGGTTTAACTAAGCACAGATTGGGAAGTCACATGACAAAAGGGTGAAAACAGATATGGTGGGGTTGGAGAAAGGCTAGGGGCAGGGAAGACCTACGCAGTATTTTTGTCTCTTTCTCTCTTGTGGGAGAGAAAGGCAGCTGGAGAGGACACTGTGCAGTATGGTTCCCTCCTGTTATCCCATAAATCTACCTCGATGCTGTTAATGCTCGTAATGGACATAGCACAGATGCAATCCCAAAGACGCCTGAGATGGATCCTATGCAAGTTATTTACACAATCTGGAAATGTATTTAAGCCCTCTAAAATATTAATATTCTCAAATACTGGTGTTTTGTAACTAACTAATTAAACTCCATATATAGAAAGTGACAGATTATCAGAATCCAACACAAGCCCTGCCCCTAGGTATTTCTGTAGAAATTTATCTTTTCACTCTGGAAGTGTTGAATATGGAGAGATGCTTCACACTCTTAATTTTGACCACTCTCAAGAGAGTCATAATTTTTTTCTAACTGCAAATGTGTAAGTTAGCTAATCCTACTACATGTAAAATCATATGTGAAATCTCCACTGTCTTTCTATGCCATGTGACAAAGATATGTTCTGTTTAAGAACCTCTTTGTGCTGCCAAGTAGGTAATATGTTGCCAAGTCCTGATTTAGCAAGAGCTTACTCCATATACACTGTGGAAGACTTCCACTTCCATTTATGGCTATTTACCATTTATTTCATGAGTAAAGAGTAGAAAGCTTTATATGACTGGCATTCTGGCATGTGACATGCAAAGAACAAAACCCACAAACCAATCATACTGCAAAAGACTCGGCGACTTCAAGTCTTAATTTTCAGAGGTGCAAGAAGCAGCCGCTACAACTGCAGCCAATGAGACTGACACAAGACTAGGCCCTCCAGGCTGTTATGCTCAGATGATATCAAGTTCTATAACCATGGGAAAATGGGCTTTACAGACAGTGCCAACCAAATGGCCTCTTCCACATGATCTCCCACTGGTACCCTTCAAAATCTTGGCAGGTAAATTACTTCTTGATCTGAAGTTCACTCCTTAAAAGCTGGCACATTCTCTGTGTATGTTAATCATTTCCAATTGAATTATTAAATAAAAACAAACAAACAAAAATATCAGCTGAGACTCAATAATTTGATGCTAGGAGCTGCACAGTGGTAATACAGAGGTGAAACATATACTCCCAAATATGTCCTGGTTGTCTCTTTGAGCTGCCATCTCCAGCGATGCTAGTTAATAATAGTGGAAATACATACAGAAAATGCCATTTTTCTTACCATGCTAACAGGTTGGTGCATGATGCAGACTGAGGTTATAGTACAGATCTAGGGCACATCAATTAAAAAAGTTCTTATTTTTATTCCATTAAGTCAAAGCAGATATGAAGGTTAAAAATGCAGAACAGGAAACATCCTCCTTCTGAAAATAAAGATATCTGAAGGAAAATACTAAACTGGACTTTATGATTTAGTTCAGGGATTCTTACGTGTTATATGTACTGGCTTCTACAATGACAGGCCAAGGTAGGAAAAGCAAGGGGTCATCTTGCCTGGAGATATGTAAATACCTGCTCTGAGTCACAGTCTCTCTGATAAGAGCCCAAGACCTAAAGCCATTCAGGAACACAGCAAAAATGGAAGAGGAAAAAAAGCTCCTTGGAGTGTGAAAAACTTGGATTTTAATACCAGTTTTCTTCATGCTTTTGAGGACGTTACTATATCATTAAGTACCTCAGTTTGCCTACGGACTTCACTGCCCTTTTTGGAAAGCCCTATGAGATCTAAGGATCAAAAAGCCACCCCAAGTACAATAACAAGAAAGGATCTCAGGCAAAATTCTGCTTCTTCACTGTCTCCTGTTTCTGGCCCTGCCACTTGGGGAACATCATTAGACAAAGCACCTGGGATTTTTCTTTCCTTAAGAGTTTTCCTCCATCTATCTCATGTGAATGGTGAAATAATTTTTTAGCACACATACTCTAAACAGCTAGCTGACAAATTAGTTTTTGCCGGCAAGCTTATTTTATCTTCTGACTATAACTGATGACAAGGAGAACAATTTCTCACAATAGTATATCGTGTTTACTAAACTACTTCAGATTATTTTTTAGTAGCTTTGGTTGGTTCTTTGGCCACTAATGAGGCCAAATAGTACACATTAAAGCACTAACTGTGTTATTCTTGTTGCTTTTATTTTACATGGACTAAAGCAATCCAGAAAGAAACATTGACTCCAAACTCCAGAAAAATCAGACTGTGACAAAAGGAATAGAATTATCTTTTTAATTAAGAGGCAAGATTTCAAGATACCTCAAAACATCCCCATTCTGAGTTCTATGTTACGGATAAAAGCCCCACCTAGCTGCCGACTTCAGCAGTGATGATGTGTAAAGCAGGCAAGCAGCGCCGCCTTTTGTGGGAAAGTTTGGTCTAGCTAGCCTCTTCTTTAAGAGTCTGTCCCCAGAGACAGTGCATTTCGTTTTTCCCTGCCTTAACCCACCATATACCCTGTCGCTCAGCTCTGAGAAGTGAGATCCCGGTTCTAGACACCTGCAAGCTACATAGGGCGCTTACTTGGCGATATCCATTTGAATGTCTATCTTTGGGTGCTTGTACTCAGACAAATTAACTTTCGCTTTTTGGGGGCGTCTTCTGTTCCTGGTCTTGAGTTGGCTTTCATATGGCCTCAGATGAACTGGAGGTAACTCCCGGTTTTCTTATTTAGATGCTATAGATGCTATGCAGGCATAAGTGGAACTCGAATTTGATACCTCCTGGAAAAATGAGTATAGCTATATGTGCAGTTATAATAAAAAGTTAACTAAAATAAAACTGATATAAAAGTATTAATTTTGGGTGCTAAGTAGGACATTTCCCTTCAAATTTCCAGAGAGCTCTGGTCAATATATCCACTGTTTCTGTGAATGTAAAGCCACAGAGAAAATAAAATGTTTCCTTGCTGAAACTCTTCGCAGAACATACACAGAGTCTCAGTTTTAAATCTCAAGATTCCAGATGCAAGTGCCTGTCCTTTAGCAGCAAGAATATGACCTACCATCCTCCTTAGATTTTAAAAGTCCTAACCTTTTCACTGTGTGATACAAGCTTTGTCTGTGTAATTTCTTATTTTGACATAGGGTGGCCTTTTTTTTTTAATGAAAATCTGTATTGACTTGTACTGAGAAAACAGTGGGTTTGCAGTCTTCTAAAAATCCTAGAAAAGTCATTTACTGGTTTTTAAATGGGCTATAAAGTGTTTGAAGTAGACAATGAAAGTTATCCCTCCTCTTTTGGTGTCGGGGGCAGAAAGCTAAAGGTTATCTTTTCAGGCACCTTTGATGTCATCATTCAGTCTTGCAATATTGTCAGCAAAAGCCTTCACAAGAAAACAGAAGTCAGAATTCTTTCAGTTCTAGAAGAAAGAGGAAAGTATTTAGTAGGAAAAAAATTCCTCCGATTTTAGAACTATCAGTAAAAAGACATAGTCTTTTTCTTCCTCATATTTCCTTGCCTTTACTACCTGGAAAAGAGCATAAAAGCCAAAATCAATATAGATTCTCCTAGAAGAAAACCAAAACAAGAGCATTGGTTGCAGAGCTAAGGTCAAACCATTGCTAAAATTAACCTCACCACTAGATGACAGCAAATACTGTAACATTTTCTTTCCTTTGGCCAGCGGCATTCCGAGAGGGGGAAAAAAGCTCCAAGAAATCCTATGGTAGGGAAGCACCTGGAATAAATACCCATTTGGAAACAAATCCTCTTCCTTCTGAAGATAACAGTAAAAATTCCTTGTTAAATAAAAGTCACTTTTTGGGCTGTAAATTCTCTCTTTTTTTTTTTTCTTTCAGTCTAAATAGCATGCTGCTTTATGGTAACAACTTTATACAGAGTGGTTCTCTGAGACATGGGGCTTTCTGATGTTCTTGATCACACATCAGAACTCCTGAAACTGTGTCATTTATGATTTCAATCCCCCGCTCCCCACTTCCTTTTAGTGTAGCTGCTGATCTCAAAGGCATGGAACTTTTACGAAGAAGCAAAACATGTATTACAGTTAAGAAGTTGTGTACATTTAGGCTATTATTTATGATTGGCTTCTTCTTATGGAAAATACTACCATCATACCAACAGCATCTAATCTTTTTTCAGAGAACTTCCAAAGCATTGATGGCGGCAATATCACCATAAGGAAGGCATCAGAGTTTCCAAACAATCAAAGCACCAAGTGAATTTAGATAATCCAGAAGTTCAGATTCCAGAAGGAAACAAGATTTCACTTGTTCTATCTCCCCTTTCTTTTCTACCAGTGATGGAACAGGCACTTGTAGACGAAAGGCTGCTTATTGTAAGGCGGGCACAGCTTTTGCCAACAGGGAGATTCCACCACGAAGCCATGACCTTCTCTACTCATTTGCTACAAAATAAAGATAAAGTATTCCTATCACAGGGAAGCCCTTAAGGCAATTTATAAACTAAAAGGGAAAAAAGAATCCTTAGGAGAGCAGAGCAGATTAACACAACCACATCCGGGTTTCTGAAGAATACTTTTCTAATATAGCTGAACAGTAAAAGATGATATTGTAAAAGTTTTTATACTCAGATTTGATTAAATTTATTGAGGATGAGTCCAAATTCTGCTGCAAAATATGAGGTTATCCTATCATTAGCCCTCAAGACTGGGTAGTTTGACAGGAGCTAACATACAGAACTCAGGAATAATGACACCCAGAAAGTTTTAAAAGATACTGAATTAACATATGTAACTTTCCTGGAAAAATGTCATAGAAGAATTCATGGAAACGTGTAAGTGAGATCAAGTTTGAAATCTCAGAGACTTCAATCCAAGGAACTAAAAAATACTTCAGAGCTAGCTTTCAATATTGGCAGTCTTTGCTTATAAAATGGGGTGCAGGCAAGGTGGGTGTTTCCAGAGCTGGAGCCAGGGCAGGAGAAAAAGGTGAAGGGTGAAATGACAGCTACCTTCGAGAGAAGTGGGAACACAACAGCTGTCACAGCACACTGCCATGTCCCTTAGCTTGCACCTCAGAAAGCAAGAGAGGTAACTGTGCTGCTGAAATTCCTAACCCGTACTGGATACTGTCCTTGGCTGAGGCACTCTGCCCCGGGAGGGGAAAAGCCCTATGCCAGATCTGCTCTGTGCAGGTTTAACTCTGTGCAAAACTCACATCCTGTGAGAGATGCCATGGGACACAGAGTGTTGCTGCAATACAAGTATCCCACTGTAGGCTAACACTGTCCCTTTCCTGTCTTTGTGCTACTGGAGAAACAGTTTTTGGACGCAAGCCAAAACGCAAAGCCGCAGTGAATAAAGAAGAGCATAGTTTCACAGAACGCTCCTGATTTTTAGCTCTCTGCTGTTTCTGTCGCTCATGAGGTTCCCAAACTGGTTTCTAAAATGTCATAGACAACTAGTAAACCAAAAGATCACAGCAATTAATACTCAGCTGATCTGCAGATTACATTGGATTCTGTGCTCAAAAGGCCCCCTTGGAAAACATTCAGCCCCTCTGCACACAGCAGCACAGCCGTGCCCCCCTACCAAAAGATTAGCATGCCAGAAACCACCTTTGCAAAAGAATTCCTGGGCCCAAGCCACACAGCTGCATTCTGGTCTACACAGAAAAAATATTTGATTGCCATTGAATTGTACTGTTACTGACACAGCTCCGAAATGGCAAACACCGGTTTGTAATTGACAAGAGTTAATCTGACTCTTCAGCTAATAATGAGTGAGCTGGTCTCTTTCTTCCTCAAGAGAAGAAAGTGGAAGAAGTTGCTTTACTAGGAAAAGTAATGCAACTACAAAACTTTAGGAACTAAAGAAATTCTCACCCACTTTTGCATTTAGTAAGAATTAAAGTCCATTTTAAGTACAGAAAACGTGCAAGGCTTTTCTTTCTCCACTGAGGGATCAACCGGCCATCTCTCACATACCCACAAGTCTTACAAGTCAGTTAAAGTTTGCATATGGAAAAGACTCGGATCAGGTCCTGGGAGATAGAAGTCTGCAGATGATCATAAGGTAGAGAAACGAATTTATATAGGATTATTCTTTTCAAGACCTAGGGATCTTGGGACACATACGAATAATGTGATGCATCACTGAGCCCCTACAGTGGAGGAAGGCTCTGAGGATATGGATGAGGGCTATGTGCTCATGAACGAGAGCTACGTGCATTAGAACAAAGGAAGGAAACACTAACAAAAGATATCATGATGTTTAAAATGCAGTCTACACAGAAATCAGAATAGGTTTTTAGAACTGGAATTTGCAGCCTCAAATCACAGCCAACAACCACATGTTTGGGGATCACTTACTGTGGCCTACTGAAATAAATCCTGTTAAAATGAGAGCTGCTATGTATAGCGAGGATGATGAATGGTTGGGAGATAACTGGTTTGATTTCGATTCTGCTGACCCTTCTCATTGTGATGATTTGGATGATCCATGGGGGGGGGGAAATAATGTGGAAGTGGTTGCTCCCAGAATAAAAATCAAGCGGGCATTAGATGCCCACCGTGGACAACCGTGAGCCTCACTGTGGGGCTGTGCTGGGGCTAGGCCAGGCAGATTCCCCCATACCTAGGCAGGGACAGGGAGCGGGGAGGTAAATGGCTGCTGAAGAGCACTCCAGAGCTGCAAATTGCCATGCTGAAAGACCTGTTGGACTCAACAGGTCAGGACAAACAACTCCCAAATATTAACTCATGGCAATTCCATGCCCTCTAGGTGGGTATGTGTCCCGTAGTTTGAGGAGCATATGCAGCTCTTAAACTGCTTGCCCTTTCTGCAGTGACAGGAATAAAGGCAGGTACTTGGTGGCAGATGGTTCTGCAGCAGATGCTGTCAGCTTGGTACTTAAAGGAAACATCAGGCTCTAAGGCAAAGACTAGGCCCATACATGTGGTTGAACCCAGCAGCAACATCCCCTCACACTCCATTTTGCTCAAGAAATACTAAAAGCAAAAATCCTCCAGATGGGATGTCTGGGGGCCGCAAAATGCGTGGCCTGTGAAATCTGTTGTCTGAGGATAGTGGAAAGGTGTGTCAGTGACGGAAATGTACTAAGTAAAGGGTTAATGAAGCAGTGACTGCACAGTCTTCCAGCTGCAGTGCTAAAGCAGCCAGTGGGAGAAACTAAAGAGCAGACATCAGGACCTACACATCTGGAACATCTGGAGTGTCACTCAATGCTTTGAATGAAGGGATTCAAGCGAGAGGGGAACCAGCTCGGCTCTGCTGCCCAGGTTGCAGCCATCGAGGCAGCTACACAGAACTGGAGTCTGGAAAGGTTGATCGCTGTAAATGAGAGGTATACCACAATGTTTGGATTGACATAAGAGCCTAAGTTTTAATGATAGATGACTGTACCTATGAAGGTAAAGCTCCTTTAAAGAAATAAGTCAATTCAGTACTAGGGGTTAAATGGTGTAATTACTCATTATCCAGCTGTGGGGGCTAAATTAATATTAGTAAATGGCTGTACTGCACGACCCTTGTTGTTACTGGGTAAAATGAGTATTCTGGGAATAGGTATTCTGAAAGGACAATCTTGATAGCTGGGGTTTAATGGGAAATTGGTAGTCCTTCAGTTACAGGAAAAACTAATCCCTGTACCATTAAATGTATAAACGTCCTGCAAATAAACCCACTCCTGCCTAACAGCCAATCAGTTAGCATTCCTCAGTATAAAATACCTGCTCCTGCTATAACATCTGTGATCGAATTAGTCAAACAATTGGAGCAACAGGATATTATAGAAAATAAAAGAATAACAACATAATAGCCAAATAAGGCCACCTGGGTCCGCCGGTGAGAACAGCAGGAGAAGCAGCGTTTCTCCTTGCTGTGGGCTGTTTTCGTTATTCCAGAGGGTTACAAAATACGAATCCAGCGAAAACGTAACCAATTCAGGGCTGCTTCAATTTTAATGGGAGCCGTAAAAAGTGAACCTCACCCATCTCCCTGGGATTCCTAAGTACTGGCTGATTTCAGAAAAACTAAATGCCTCAGGCACTAGAAAAGCAACTGCTTTTCCGCCTCTGTTAAGGGACCAAAAAAAAAAAAAGCATGATTTTGTCGAGCGATGCAAAGTGTGGACCTAGTATTGAGCATTTCTTTCCCAGTTTAGTTCAGTGTGACGGGGACACATGGTCATGAGGCTAAGGCTGTAATTCCTGCTCGAGGTCTCCCTTTCCCACGGCTGGGAATTTAAGGATGTTAAGTGCACAGGCGGCAGTGCTTCGGAGAACCGCGCGTGCAGCCACT